CAAATACATAGTGATAAGTAATAGATCATGTATGTAAAATTACTATATCTTATTATACTTTTAGTGATCGACATACTGAGAAACAGGCAACCAAGATCAGCACAAATTGGTTCTGTAAACGAACCTGGGCATACATTATCTGAAATTCATATGACTTGGACAGAAAAGGATGACGATCATGTCTATCAAATACATGAAATTTCAGGAAAGTACATGTTGCTAAATCAGAAAGTATATGTAAAATCATGACTAATTGAGTAGAAAAAATTAGAGACAAAAATTTTTGATGATTGGATAAAGCAGCAGAACAGGTGATTTACTGTGCATTTTTCAATTTCGGAAAATACATGAAACTTCATTCATGTGATCTAATAGGTATTTCAGATTTAAACTGCCTCTTATCCAATAGCATTTTGTAAAAATTCTGTAAGAGAAAATATTTTTGCAGATGCGGAAAGTATATGAAATTTCGTATTGTTACACTGTACAACTTAGCAAATATGAAACCTGCAGATTTTGTATTATTTTCACATCCTTTATTCATCATCTGCCAATAGATTGATCAGAAATTTTTTATTACAAATTTTCGTATCTGCATGCTGATCAGTTCATGCAGACACAGGATTCGGATTTTTTATTACCAGCTAAAATTTTGATTTTGATCATGTTGAAACACAAAAAGAAATCCGAAACCCATCCCAAAATAAACAGATACTTTTTAAAAAGGAAATATTTCTTTAATTATATACCAAGACCTAAACTGAACTGAAAGTGAAGAGTTCAAACCTTTAATATGATTAACATAAAATTTAAATGATTATACTTCATTGATTAAACCAAAAATGTACTCATCTTTACATTATTATAATCAAGAAAAAAAAATTATTTTGTAACTAAATTTTAGACAGAAAATAAAATATAAAGAGAAGCATCGAAAGATTATATAGTATAAAGAACTAAATCGATATTCATTTAATATAAACTCTACTTTTACATAATAGTATTCAAACACATTTCATTTACAAGAACCATCAAAGAACTAAAGATGACAAGAAAAAGCATAACAAGAAACAATAGTAGAGTTGATGCAACTTATATAAAAATTGAATAAAAGTTATTACTGATAAGAATTTTCTTTGTTTATTACAAAGTCAAAGAGACAGAGAAAAATAATGAGAAGAGAAAGAAGAAAATTGTAATTTATGTTTATTTAGCTACACAATTTGTATTCATATAAAAAGTTGTAATTCACTTTTTGTTTAGTAATAATGTCATATCCAACTTTTATTTCAATGCTAAAGATTTTTACAGATGAAAATGAATGTATTAAATTTTTATTCGACAATAATATTTTGTATAAACCTAAAGAATATAAAATATGTAAAGCAAACTTGTCTAGAGATAAAAAAAGATTCATTTGTGTAAATAAAAAGTGCAGAAAATCAGTTTCGATATTCAAAGATTCCTTCTTTTCAAAAGGACATGTGAAATGCAATCTTACAATGATGATTGGTTATTTTTGGTTGTCTAAATGCAATTATTATACGATTGAAAAAATGACAGGCCATTCACCAAATACAATAACTGATTATATGAAATTCTATCAAGAATTAGTTATTGATACTTTAAAAGATTATGAAGACAAGATAGGTGGTAAAGGGATTATTATTAAAATCAATAAATCTAAATTTGGAAGAAGAAAATATCATTATGATAGAGTTATTGATGGAGTATAGATTATTGATGGTATTGAAAGAACAGAACAAAAACGATGTTTTCTGATAAAAGTACAAAAACGTGATGAAGAAACAATCAAAGATATCTTAGATAAATATGTTGAACAAAGATCTATTGTTCATACAGATTGTTAGAAAGGTTATCTGAATATCGATGAACTAGGATTCAAACATAAAACAGTTAATCATTCAGAAAATTTTATGGATTCTAAAACAGGTATACATACGAATACTATAGAAGGATTGTGGAATGGCATCAAGTTACAGATTGCACCACAAAATCGAAACAAAGGCTTAATTGAATCACACTTATTTGAATTTATTTAATGCAAAGTAAACAAAAACAGACTCTGGAAAGCATTTATCGAAGCACTATATTCCACAGCATATTACCAATCTGATGATATTACTTTGTGACAATTGCATGCATTAGTACATGCTAAACTATAGTTCAACCCTTCCAATGTTCTAGAAGAATATCTAACAGCTATTGAGGAAAATTGTAATCCATTAAACTTTTAGAAAACATGATCAGCTGATGTATGCTATTCTGAACTTGTACAAATGACATGTAATTATTTGTTGTGCAAGCCACCTCTGTATCTAGCGAAGAAATGTTTTCCAAAACCAAAAATACAATTAATCCAATCCGTAATCAACTATCTGAAGAAAATGCATCTGCAAGTCTCTGTTTAAAAACATAATACAAATCAGGCATCATCGATTGTGTAGAATATTATTAAACTGGATACTATTATGCAGGTTAATAAATAAATAATACATAATTGCAATAAATATTGTATAAGTATAATATGTATATTTTACAAAGTATTTGCTTCAATAAATAGCAGGCTTTATTAAATTGTTTAAGCAAACACAATTATTAATATTAATACATTTGTATAAACTGAGTCCAATAACCAGTTTTACACATATGCTTCAAACAGTATTAAATTGAGTTTTTGAATACAAACTAACTGGTTGAAATAGAATAATATCCCTAATTGACACCTTGCATTTTAGTTAGTTTATTAAAAAAATTAATATATATAAGGTATGTTCATAAATAATTTATAAAATATAGAATTATTTAAATTAATAAAAACTTACAATTGCACGAACTTATAATGTTATTAAATTCTCATCTAATTTTAGATGTTGACTATCATCAAAAATTAAACAACCTTGAATATATATGTCACATAATGGAAGATTTTCATAAATTTTTTTTTTAATACTGTTTAATGTATTGATAGTATTCGATTCAGTTTCAAGTGTCTAAGAATTAACCATATTACAATTAATATAAATTAAAATTTAAATATGTTTAATTTAATACTTACACGAATTCTTTTGTTAGCTCGAGTAAATTCGGTTTCTTGATAAACACACAACTGAAGACTTTTTTATATTTGACTTCAGAAATAAATACAGAAATAACTTCATCTGATTTTAAGTCATAATGATCTGCTTTGGTTGTATTTGAAACTTGATAACAAATACGACCTAATTTAATCTTTCCCCATTGCTTGGGAAGTGTTCGTGATAAAATTTCTTCCTCAATATCTCTGAAATTTTTTATATTATTGAGATCATACAGAATGGCTAATGCACCATCCAATTTTTTATGTGGTTTTTCAAATCAATCGTAGCATACTAGTGTAACAAATGCTAAAATAAAATAAAATAAAATTTTATAAATAAATATTATAAAATATATCATACAGAATAATGATACCTTACTTTTAATTGGAACTTGTGTTATTGCTTGAGTTGTGTTGGATGTTACATTAGGTTCGGTTACTATATTGGAGTCAGTTGATATTGCTTTAGGCAAATCGGGTATTTCAGATTCAATTGTCATTATTTCAGACAAGCTGGGTGTTTTTAAAATATTTATGAATGAACAAGCTAAAGGCTCTTTAGCTGTTAAATCTATCGTTTCAATACTTTTGTCTAATTCGTGCTGATTTTCTTTTTGACCTATATTTTATAAGTTATTATAAATTAAAATTTAAAGTAAAATAATATAATATAAAAATTTTACTTTGATTTCGTTTATTATATTTCTCGACGCAATTATGACAAAGATTAATAAAATCTTGGTCGTTTGGGATTATAACTTGTGCTGTATTTTTTTTGATCCAGTCAACAAATTCTTGGTCATATCGAACTTTTTTTTTATTAGCGCCTGCTCGTGTAATGTATTTATTATGAAAGCTTATACTATATTCGAGACCTTTTTTATGTTTTTTGTTAAGATCTGTTGGTTGGCAAGAACAATCTTCACCATAAATGTTTGTACAGACTAAGCAAATCAAGCATACTGGACATGCGTTCAAACGAAAACTTAATGTTAAATGGAATGACATTGTAGTATCGGTTAGAATACTTTCGCTATGGATTAATTTATTATCGTTGTTTATTATTAATCACATCCACATCAAAAGTTTATCACTGCCGAATCAAGACTTATCGAATCGGCAAATATTCGGTCGGTCAATTTTTGCCATATTTTCCAGAAATTATGAGAACAGCTGTAATTTTGTTATCTGACCATTACATAGATCATACCGAAATCAAATCGGCAGAATAATCAATCGGTTAATGTTTTATCAGGTGTCCTAGGTATATTGATAATTGCTGTAAAGCTAATAAAAAAAATTTACCAGACCGGATAAAAATTTTGGACAATAATGATTTAGTATACCTTTAAGAATTAGTTTGCATTTTTTGTTAATAGTTTTTTTATATTTCCTTTTCGGTTCTATTTATTTTGTCTTGTTTTTATAGTTTAATTTGTTTGTTTTGCTTTTTAAATCTAAAAAAAATTCATAAACTGACTAACAATGAAGCATATAATTTATATGCATTTCAATACCGATCTGAGATATAATATACAACACGTAAATGCTCTGTCCTTTAACAATTCAATTCTTTTTGAAAATTCTGTTTTGACATTTTCATTCTCAAAATTTTTCTCTTCTCCTCTCTTCTCCTATCATTTTCTTTAAGTTTACTGTTTTAAACAATAATAACAAATTACGAGATGATTAAAATGATTTGTGTTCAATTTGTGAAACTCTTTTCTTTAAGTTTGCTGTTTTAAACAATAATAACAAATTACGAGATGATTAAAATGATTTGTGTTCAATTGGTGAAACTCTAATAAATTTATTTGGTAAAAAAAAAGGCATGTGCGTTCTATATAAAGTTTCGGTGAAAAGCTAAAATGTACTGTACCTTCTAATCTCATATTTTATCATGGATCGAAAGACTGGAAAAGTGCATTACGAACTTGGATGGAAATATCAACATGGTATCGGTGTCGAAAAGAACGAGAAATTGGCCTTCAAAAATTATCAAAAATCTGCAGAAATGGGGGACACTAAAGGAACGTATAATGTTGGATATTGTTATGAAGAAGGAATTGGAGTTGAAAAGGATGAACATAAGGCATTCTTTTATTATCAAAAATCTTCTGAAATGGGGAACACTGATGGAACGTATAATGTTGGATATTGTTATGATGAAGGAATTGGAGTTGAAAAGGATGAATATAAGGCATTCTTTTATTATCAAAAATCTGCCGATATGGGTAATGCTCTTGGTATAAATAATGTTGGATGTTGTTATGAAGAAGGAATTGGAGTTGAAAAGGATGAACATAAGGCATTCCTTTATTATCAAAAATCTGATGATATGGGGGACACTGATGGAACATATAATGTTGGATATTGCTATCAAAATGGAATTGGAGTTGCAAAAGATGAACATAAGGCATTCTTTTATTATCAAAAATCTGCAGAGATGGGTAATGCTTTTGGCATAAATAATGTTGGATATTGTTATGGAAGAGGTATTGGAGTTGAAAAGGATGAACATAAGGCATTCTTTTATTATCAAAAATCCGCAGAAATGGGAGACGCTGATGGAATATTTCGAATTGGATATTTTTATGGTGAAGGAATTGGAGTTGAAAAGGACGAAAATAAGGCATTCTTTTATTATCAAAAATCTTCTGAAATGGGGGTCACTGATGGAACATATAATGTTGGATCTTGTTATGAAAGAGGACGCGGAGTCGAAAAGGATAATAAGAGAGCCTTCGAATTCTATAAAAAAGCTGTTGATATGGGTGACACCAGTGCAATATTCGAAGTTGCTCGATGTTATAGAAACGGAGTCGGTGTAGAGAGAGATTTACAAGAAGCTAACTATTGGTATCGGAGGTAAATATGTCATTTTTAATTCATATTTGTTATAAACTTACTATATTTAATAATTGTTCGAATAATTAGAGCAAGAAAATCGATAGCAGGTGATTAATATCATTAACTTAATTATTAATATTGTTAATTAATATTTTTTTTTAATTTGTATTTTTTATGTGTCGTAGTAAAATATGAATGTGCATCTAAAAAACTTGATGGTGATTTAAAAAAAATGTTGATTGAAAACAAATATCAACTGCCATGGATTCCTTATGAAGAATTTAATATTATTGAAAAAATAGGAAAAGGCGGATTCGCAACTGTATATCGTGCAAATTTGTATGATATAAACCAAAATTTAGATATGGAAGTTGCACTTAAAATTCTCGATTTAAATAACAGTTTAGAATTTGTAAAAGAGGTAAAAGTATTTTGTGAAATCAGAGATGTATATCCTTCATTTTTAAATTGTTATGGAATATCAAAAAATGATGATGGAAAATATATCCTAGTTTTGGAATATGCTAGAAAGAATTCTTTAAGTAAAAATCTTCTCGATATATCACGAATGGATTGGAAAAAAAAGATAAAGCTATTACATTGTATAACTTCTGATCTTGATATGATTCATTTTCAAGGATACATTCACAGGGATTTGCATTGTGGTAATATTTTACAAGATGATATAGATAATGCTTATGTTGCGGATTTAGGGATCTCATCATCTGCGAAAAGTGAGGTTGGAGGAATTTATGGAGTGTTACCTTACATTGCTCCGGAAGTACTATTTAAACAGTCGTTTACACAGGCATCAGATATTTATTCTTTGGGAATAATCATGTCTGAAATTTCTACTGGTGAAAAACCTTTTGATGGCGTACCATTTGATAATGATCTTTCAACAAATATTTGCTTAGGATTGCGACCAGGTTTTGCACCTGGTACACCTGATTGCTATATTGAATTAGTTAAACAATGCATGGATTCTGATCCACATAAACGACCTACTGCTTCAAGCATTCAAAGTAAACTTAATGAATGGAATAAAAATTTAAATGATTTGGATGAGAATGAAATAAAAAAGCAATTTTTGGAGGCTGATAACATGATCAAAAAATTACCAATTATTTTTCAAAAACATCCGGATCATATTTACACTTCAAGGTTTATCAACACGAATACATTATCAGAAATAAATGGTAGCATCCCGATTGATGTAGAAATTCCTGATGATTTGTGATTTGTTTTTGTTTGATGTAGTCGGTAGCAAACCTATATCGGTATATTATTTAATATCTTAAAATCATGTATACGACTCAGTCTCAGACTCATTATTCCAAATTTTATTACAATTTAATTCATGTAAGTGTTTAACGCCTTATTTTATATATTAATTATGTATCCATTTATACCTTTTTAAGGCGTAAGGTACTCTGACATTCTTAGTCATTGCCCATGGTAAAAAAGGCCTTGAACGGCAAAATATAAGCACTAGTCATAGAAATGTGAAAAGCGCTATAAATAGATTGATAAATTGAAATTTTCTATATACATTAAAGTATAATAAACTTTAACATCTTGAAAGTAACTTTGTTGCAGTATTTAGAAGTATTTAGTGTTCTCTGGGCTTTGAAGTTTAGAAATACATATTTTTTAAAAATTTGTTGCTTATATATATCATATAATGTAATAATTAGACTACAATGCAATATAATTTGGTAGCTTAATCACAATCAATAGTGAAACTTGCGGGTAAATTTGCATGTCAACCAGTTTAAGGGATAATGTTAACACATTTCACATTATTAAATTCTCGTTTGAATACTTGCCAAATGTTTGATGTGTTTGTACGAACTTAACCAATAAATCGTGACAAGAAAAATTAGGCTTCTATAAAAACATATTACTCAAATAGGTATTAATGTTAAAAAAGTTAAAGATATGATTTGAGATTCCAAAAAATCAAAATTTTGTTATAGCTGTTTTCATAAATTTTGGGACATCTGATAAAAAATTGACCGAATGATTATTTGTTGATTCGATAAGTTTTTGATTTTGCACGAGTGTAATGATGATAATTATTTATATAAATATATATTGTAATTATATTTTTAATGATACTACAATACCAATGAATCCAAATTAAAGTAAACCATAGTAGTTACTTAAAACAAAAAGATTCAGCACATTTTTATCTTCATTTTAAAATATCATACTCTCTATATGGTTTTTTTTTTAAATATTAATGATGAGGTCATGTCTTTAATTTTATTGAAATTCAATTGAAGTTTTTATAAAGAAAAACTTGTTTTTAAATTACATATAAAGAATAAAGACTCAGACATATAATTTGTGACTTAAACTTACAAGAATAATCAAAGTTCACCTAGATTTGGGTATTAGTAATAATATATGAAAAAAGAGAATGATATTTAATCCTTTTGATAGTTCAAAAATCAATTTTAATAATAATTTGTGGTATTGAGATAGGAGATAATGGTAGTCTAGAAAGAGAATTATGAGTTGAGTTTATAAAAAATATAATTAAAGACTATGTTAAATGTGAAATACAATATGGGATCCATATTTGTTTATATATTTGTTGGTTTAAATAAAGAAGAAATTTAATAGAAAAAGAGATAGCTATATATTAAGAAATAAAAGTATTATAAATAGTAGAAATAAGGTCAATAGAGACTAAGCTAGATAAAATAGAAATAAGAAATGGTATATAAGAAAAGTTGTGTAGTTTAAAACTATTAAGTATAAAAATTTTTTGATGTAAGTTAGAAACAGAAATAGTGAACATATTGAGAGCAGTAACATTTAAGATGCAATTAAAAGAATTAAAGATTAAGTGATAAATTGTTTAAATAGAAAAACAAAGAGTTCTGTATAATGAAAAACTAGTTTAATTGTATTGATGACAGAGAGAAGAATAAGAAGAATTATATTTATGAAAAATATAAGGAACAGGTAATTCATTTAAGAGAATTTTAATATAAAAGGTTTTTAAAATAGAAGAATAAAAGCTATAAACAAAGTTAAAAACTTTTTGATTATTATTAATATAAAACCAAGTGACTTTCCAATTAATATTGGATGCAGTAATAGACTATTATTTAAAATAATATTAGGATATTCAAAATATTATAATATGAGTTTGATAGATAGTATGAATAGAGCATTAAATAGAAATTTTAATAGAAAATTAGTCAATAAATGAAGTATATTTAGAGTTGTAAGGGTTATTATCTAAAAATATTAAAAAGAATAATATTTAATGACTATAAGCAAGCTAGTTAACAAGATTATTAAATGAATTATCTTGGTATATAATAATTTTATAAAAACTGAACTGAATATTATATGAATTAATGAAGTTTATAAAAGTTTGCTAAATAGAAAAGTATGAAATATGAATATAAGAAAGTTTAGAAGCTAATGAATAAATACTATGATATTTGGAGATTATAAATTGTGAGTTAATAAAGATATGAACAGAATAGTTTCTGGAAGCAGTAATGATTATTAAAAGAGTAACAAGAATTTCAATTTTAAAAGAGCATATCTAAAGTTTAACTTGTATTTAAAATGAATGAATAGTTGTAGAGTTATCAACTTAGACCCAAGTTATGCCTATAGAGTATTAAGAAATATCAAGCTTAATAACAGAACTATCAGTATAAAATAAGATAGTAGTTAAATTATAATTAGAATTAGTAATAGACTATAAGCTGTTATTAAGTTGATCTGACTGAAAGATACAAGGTAATTGTTGTAGATTGATTATTAATAAAGAAGGTGATAGAATGTATAAAGGGTGTTGAATAGCTAAAGAGTATATAATATCAAGGAAATTAACATATAGGTTAAGAGTTTTGTTAGAATTAATATAACAAAATGATTTAGTAACTAAATTTATTGAAATAAAGATAATGTATTTGTTAGCAATTATATTGAAATTAAAATGGCATCTAGGTTATATAATAGTAGTAAAAGAAAGAGTAAAATAAAGGTTAGAAAACTAAGACTGAAATGAACAGTATCAGTAAGTAATAAAAGTAAAGTCTATAAGACTGTTATGCTTTCTGGTTTTGTTAACAATAATTTGATTGTTAAGGATAGTAAGTAATCAGGATTTGTTATTAGAATTAAAGTAACCAGTAGTATAAAAAAATAGTTTGATTAAAGTAAGTTAAAATAATTATATAATATATATTGATAAGAATAGCTTATAGTAATATTCTTAAAAATAGTAAATCATTGAGATATAATACCTTTAGAAAGTTTGTTTAGTCTAAAAGAAATTGTCAATATAATAAATATAAATTATTATAGATAGTAAGTTGGTTAAAAAAGAGGAGATTGTAATATCTAAGTTATTTTTTGAAAACAGAGTATTTAGAATAAAAGAAGAGAAGAAATTTAAGAGAGATAATTTTATTATATAAGATGTAAAAAATATTATAAGTTGGATTAATTAAAAATATTTAGTTAATATGTTTAATAAATCATATAATTTTAAAGTTTGTGATTAGGTAATTAGAAGCATTAATAATTAAATTGAGATTAGAGAAAATGTTAGTTAAAGGCCAAAGATTGTTTTGTAATTATTAGATTTAAATATGAGTAAATGTGTCTAATAGGTCAGGATTGCTAAGTTATTTAAAAAGATTGAAATATAGTATTGTAGTTGAATATCCTAAATGTATTTGATGTTATAAATTTGTATATATAAAAGGGTACTAGAAGGTATTGTATAATAAAGTTTGACTTTAAGTTTGACAAGACCAATATGCTGAATAAAAATTTTATTGCAAGTAGATTGGTTGATTACAATATTTTGAAGTCAGTATTCAAGAATAGAAATAATCACCATATTAATAATATAATAACTATATGAGTCAATAATATATTTGATTTTTACAATTTGGATTAGTTAAGAGAATTCAGATATAAGTAGTTTTGTTTATTTAGATTGTTTGTTGTCTAAAGTGAACTAACAACCTAAAAATTTAAAGTATTTTAGAAGAATGAAGAGAAAAAAGATGTTTATTATAAGAGATAGGTATACAATAAGATGGAGAATTGTTGGTAACCAGAATAAATTTTGAAGAATTGACTTGGATATTAGCCATAATATAAAAAGATTTAGTTATAAATAATATATGTGATAGTTCAAATTGTGATAAAGCAATCCAAAGAGTATCATCAATATAAGCCAGTACAGCTTATTGTTTTTGTAATAAGTTGTGGTTTGTTCAACAAATATTATAAAAAATTCCAAAATTGTTTCAATTGTACATTTAGGTTTTGTCAAAACTTTTGTCTAGATTTTGTCAAGCTTTTGTCTAAATTTTGTTCAAGCTTTTGTCTAGATTTTGTTCAAGCCCTTGTCTAAATTTTGTTCAAAAAATGTTCAAAACAGGGTTGATTTTCTGAACAATTTTTTGTACAAATTTCTAACAATAATTATTTATTTATATACAACATTCATTGTATATTTAATCAGATTTATTAAAGAAATATTCTAGAATTGTATAAATTTTATTACAGATTTGATTAAAATAAACCAAATTATAATCACAGA